ATATTATCAATTCTCATAGTTGGATCTAATTCTCAGGATCTGATCCATTCATTTGATAAGAGCTAGGCTCCTAGGCTAATATTATCAATTCTCATAGTTGGATCTAATTCTCAGGATCTGATCCATTCATTTTGTAATTGGTTGCATATTTTGGCTAGTAAATTTACCTTAAAAATTATACCGATCGTAGAGAAGAATGCAAAACTAACCTGGAAAATGCATAAACGATAACATCACAAGCAAAATTAACATAATATAAGTAATGAGCAGTATTGTATAAGAATATGATAAGAGTACCATCTAAACCACCAACAATAGAGAATTCATTACTTTCAAAGACATATAATGCTATCGTATCTGTTATTCGTAACAAATAAAATGGTGTATTTAATAACATATACACAACTGGTACCACAAACAGTATCCTGAAAATGACATTTTTTCTTTTTACATCATATAATTTACATTTATTATAAGTTAATTACCTTGCATTTATTTGTTAGTTATTTATTGCAAGTTAATTACAAATTAATTACCTTGCATTTACTTGTAAGTTAATTACAAATTAGTTACCTTGCACTTACTTGTAAGTTAGTTATTTATTGTAAGTAAGTTACAAATTAGTTATCTTGCATTTATTTGTAAATTAATTATTTATTGTAAGTTATTACCTTTCAGAAATATAATTTCATAGAATCTTTAAAAAAAAAAAATAAAAAAAAAAAAAAAAAAAAAGTGTAGGAATACGAACATAGCTGAGTTTTGACGACGCCGATTAGAACGTGTTCGATTAGGATCATACGTGAAACCACGTTTCACTTTTCCGGCAACTAATAAATTCAATAAAACTACACAAAGACATGGTACCACATAACATAATATTACATCAGCAACTTCCACAATAATCTTCAAGTGACATTTTTGCAAATTAAAGTTGAAAAATCAAAAATTTATTTTTTACATAATCAATTAACAAATAATAATATTTTACATTTACATATGAATAATATTTAAATGATCCATTCACATTCTTTACTAAGATAAGGATTCAAGGTAGATAATCCTTGCTTAGCTACGATATTTACTTTAATAAGCTAATATTACCATAAAAACTACGGTTGATTAACCAAATGAACAATTATGTTTTATTATTAAAGAAATTTAGCTTAACCAACAATTAACTGATTTGTGTAGTTTAATTAAGTGTTAACAAAGTTTTTTAAGAAATAAAATTTCAAGCTCCAATTTTAACACAAAATTTTTAATATGGTAAAGCAAATAACCTGAAAGCTACCGTCATATGGAACACATTTACGTATATTTGGATACTGTGGATCATTCATATCATTATACGGTATCAGTGATATAAATTGAATTAAATTGAAAGCAAACGGTATGGGAATCCAGAACAAAATCATTTTCCACCGATCCAAATGTCCATACTGTAAATTTTTTGCTAATTTTTATTTTGTAAATTCCATATTATTTTGCAGTTAGCATGTCCAACCAAAATTTTTTTAAGAAATGAAATTTCAAACTTCAATTTCAACTCAAATTAAATAAAAAAAATGAGCAATTCATTCAAGCATAAACTATTTGTTAAAATTATATTTTACCAAAATTATTGAAATTATTTCAAATATATAGATAAAATAACACCGTTCGCTCACTATTTTTCATTTTTTTTTTTTTTTTAAAAGGAACATATTCAACTATCGATTAAGTTTGATAGTAATACATAAAAAAAATGTATCCTTTTACCTTAGCTATCTATCATTTACCTCACCGATATTTTACCTTATCTATACTTTACTCCATTTACGTTTTACCTTATCTATACTTTACTTCACTTATATTTTACCTTATCTATACTTACTTACTTATATTTACCTCATCTATATTACTTCATTATATTACCTTATCTATACTTACT